ATAATATAGATTTGTTATAATTTGAAGATCATTGCATTGTAATTGTTTTGCTTTGAGGACGTCCATTAGCTCTTTGTGGCAGGACTGTGTCGAAAGCCTTGTTGTAATATATGAAACAGACGTACATATCTTGGTTCACATCCAAGCATCTCTGGATTAGTACGTTGAATGCAAAGAAAGCTTTAAGAGGACATCCATGTACTTATATTCTATTATTTTATGGATATCAATATGCAGTTGATCAGCTCCCTTACTTTTTCCGTTTCTGATGTTCTTTAGTGCATACAATAATTCTTCTTTTGTAATTTCTATACTTGTTTCTCTGTCCTTGAAATGTACGTCTTGTAGGTTTCCTTTTTCCTGAGGATATTACTATCCTTAGTTAATATATTCTATTGTGGACCGACTTAATTTGATGATGTTAAGTTCTGTAAGTAGAAACGAGACTTAATATAAAAGTAATTCGTGAAACTACATTATAAATGTGCTTAGGGACGCTGCCATTTAATGGTTTAGAGTAGCTCGGGTACCATAAGCAATTAGCGCTTCCAGTCACGAATCTAGTAAGACATATAAGATAAAGACATTTTCCTATATTCCGTTGAAATTAAAATATATTTTTTGATACAATTTTTAAACATTTTCCAAGTACAGATTTAAAATAGATTTAATGTTTATTGTAGATTTATAAGAATTTTGAGTTTAATAATAAACTATATTTGTTATTATAGAGAGGTATTTGAGACTAAGTGTACGGCAAATTTCAACTTTATATATTGCAAATTATGACATTGGGTTCGTGATTAGTGTTGGCGAATTCCTGTAATTTTTGGAATTTAGTTCAACGGACCCACCTTATTACCATGATCCGTGTTAGTGGCCCAGCTAAGGACATGCCGAGATTAAACAGCGATTTTGTTTAGCGATAATATAAAGTCCGTGTCAGACGATCAAATATTTGAGCAAACTGACGTCATGACGTGATAATGGACCGCAGGAGTGTGACGTCACATTGTCATTATTACTTTCCAAACAAACGTTGAAATGTCAAATCTCAAGACTTTTTAATTCCTATAAAGTTAACATTTTGCTTCCTCTGCTGCTTTTTCTTGTAAGTATAGTGTTTTTACGATAATACCGTCATAATTCAGAGTTCTATTTCTATGAAATATGGTTTAAAAGTTTAATTAAAGAAATTTTAACCTTACTTTATTGATACTTTCATTTTATTCCTATTAGCATAAAACAATGTGCTTTATTATTTACACAACCTTGTAAAATTGTTGTAGTAACTATTAGAATACTTAAATATTGCAAAAAGCGGAAAGATTCTATAAAATAAATGAAAAAATAACGAAAAATACAAATTATCCACACTAAACAACGTTTGTTTGGAAAGTGAAACTGGCAGATGTCAATCAAATCTACGTCATCACTCCTGTGGTCCATTACAGTTTGCTACAATTTTAAAAATTTACCTGTCACACTCTCATTCAAATTTGATCAAACTGACGTATGTCAATGTCAAAAATTTTCCTTATAGACAATGAAAATAAAAAGTCCGAAATGATTTTTTATAATAATTTGAATGCTTCACACTATATATAAACAGCTTCTTTTTCAATATAAATCAATTGTGTAGAAATTTGTTCTTGGCTCCAATGTATTAAAAAAAAAGAATTAAAATGAATTTCATCACGTTATATCCAACTGCTGATTGCATTTGTCTCTATATATATTTCGACCAATCAAAATTCAAGTTTGATCAAGGACCTTGAAAAATAGAAGATCCTATATTTTAAGAGGATTGGATCAAATTCAGGATGTGACCTCATCTCGTCCATGATGGATCTTCTGCAAGTTTGTACTGGGCGGCCTCTTTTTCTTTTCCCTTGGGGATTCCACTCTAGGGCAGTCTTTGCGATACTGGAATGGAGTGTGTAACCGATCCAACCCCACTCTCTGGAATTAATTTCATTTTGTACCCTCTTTTGTTCGGTCAGGTGTAGCAGATCTTCGTTTCTGATGGTGTTAGGCCAGAATATACGGACAATTCTTCGTAAACATTTGTTAGCAAAGACCTGCAGTTTGTCTGTGAGGGTCTTTGTCACTTTCCAGATTTCACATCCATAGAGTAGAACAGACATGACATTTGATCGGAATATTCGGATCTTTGTCCTTGTAGTATACTCTCCAGATCTCCAAACAGGGTTGAGCGTGCTGAAAGCTTGTTGGGCTTTTCGTATCCTTATACTAATATCGTCTTCTGTACCTCCGTTTTCTGTTATGACACTTCCACGATACGTATAGTTTTCTTTAAAGTCTGACACAAACTTAAGACTCAAGAAATTATATATTAAATTCTCTATTATACTATGTATGACCTGAAAGTAAACGATGGTTTTACATAACTTGGCAATGCTTTATTCTTCGTCATCTAGTTCGTAACATCCTTCGAAGTCATTTTCATTTGATTTACCATTTTTTAAGTCAATGAAAAAGATTAATGACTTATAGTGCCATCTTCTGACTCTTCTATTAGTTGTTGAGATGCTGGCCTTTTAGCGGGTTTTTAGGATTTGGCAACAGAATTATATGTCGGGATTATATGGAGACTGGTAGACTTCTGAAAACATGATTTTCCAAGTATTTCAATAGCAATATATCTAATGATACTGGCCATCTTCCTCCAAATTGCATGAGGACTTCCTTTCATGCTCCAACACATTTTTTTATCTATATTTGCTCAGAATAGTCCTTCTTACATTCTTTCCTTAACAGTCCTTTTCACCTTTAACATCCACCACTTGATTTTTTGTGCTAATCTCCGATATCTTGGTTTAGTTATCTTCTTTTTTGTCATAAAATAGTCTGTTTGGAGTGTATTTTATTAAATTTTGTAAGTAATAAGTTTACTTTCTCGCTTTTCAAAGCCTACTCCTCCATGTTTTGCTTCATATCGTCTCTTGACCGTTGAGATGATGGTTTCTTAGCGGGTTTTTCAGTTTTGGCAACAATATGTCGGGATTGTATGGAGACTGGTAAAGTTGTGAAACCTTGTGATTTTTTTCATTGTACACGCAACAATAGAAACATATAAACAATTACATGGACAATCCATTGAATTCTACATGATGAGACTGTTTTCTATGGGAATCATAATCGCAAACGTATGAATTTAACTAATAATAACATTTTTAAGATATTTTTTATCAAAAGCGATCATTGCCAAATTGTTCAGAGTGGCATGTTGGTTTTAACTGCATTTTCTTGTAAATGAGTCTCTTATTGTAATATATGTATATTATAAGCTTAAGTTCAGCTTGTATTTAATGTACAATACCCAAAAACCCAAAAATCTACTGGAAAAGGCATCACGTTATATCTAACTGCGGATTGCAGTTGTTTTTATATATTTTTCGACCACTCAAAATTAGTTCTCCCATTTCTTTCAGGATCTTGATAGATATATTCAATAAGGTGGCTTTTTATTCGATTGTGGTCCTGGTAGCACTACAACCCGGGGTGGGTCTTGGCTGACTGCACAACCTGCTTCCATCTCGAACGGTCGTCCATGATGTTTAAGTCAGTGGGTAGCCCCATTGTTCTCAAATCTGACCATATATTATCTCTCCATCGCATTCGTGGACGTCCTAAGGGCCTTCTCCCTGTCGGGACTTCTTCCCAGATTAACTTGGTAAGGCGGTTATTAGGGAGCCTATGAACATGGCCAGCCCATCTTAGACGTTGGGATTTAATCTCTTGGACTACGTCGCTAGCACTATACATTTGTTTGACCTCGGCATTTGTTCTCATTCGGTATTGGTTAGTATTCGGATCGTGATAGGGACCGAAGATCTTTCTGAGGATTTTTCTCTCAAAGCATCTGAGTTTACTTTCCATTGCTTTTGTCAGCGTCCACGTCTCACACCCATACATGAGCACCGGTCTAATTACTGTTTTATATATCCTGATTTTTGATGTTCGTGTTAGGCTCTTGGATTTAATAGTGTTGTGGAGGCTATACATACATCTGTTTGCTGCCTGAATTCTCCCTTTTATCTCTTCCGTGATATCGTTATCTGTGGTGATAGTCGCTCCGAGATATTTAAAACTCTCCACTCTTTCAAAGTTATAGGGGTCTATTGTTACATTTTGTCCTATTCTATCTCGTCTCTTTTGTCTGTTAATGCACATATATTTGGTTTTCTCTTCATTGACCCTTAGACCGGTATTTTTTGCCTCTCTCTCTAATTTATTGAAGGTTTCTTTTACATTGGTGACGGTATTTCCTACAATGTCAATGTCAAGTGGTCCTCTAATCCTAGATTACATTCTCTACCATGGCTGTAACACTTTTCCTGCCTTTGCTTATGAGGTATGCTGCTATTTTGCCGAATGTTCTATAATTAAATGTTTCGCCTGTCTTTGTCCTGGTGAATTCCTCCACTATTCCAGAGATTTGTATGCTTCCCCGTTCTTGTTACTGCCTGTGCAACGCCATTTAAAGATCTAATAGTAGACTACTAAATTTTATAACTTTTCCTTCAAGTCTCTTACCACTGTTTTATCATTTGCTCTAATTCCCTTTGTATTTTCTGCTAACACCACATCACCAACATACAGTGTTGCATTCATTGATGCACATTGCAGTGTCAAGTTTAATAAATTAACACAAATTGAACAAATTAACCTCCAACACCAACAAGTTTGTACAGATCTGTAAATATTATATGCTCAGCAGATGTTGATATGATTCGATTTCTGAGCAATATCGATCACGCCGTGATCACGCATTAAACCGTGTTTATATTCAAATTTTTGTTGAAAATGAGTCTCGTATTGTCATATATGTATATTATAAGCTTAAGTTCACCTTGTATTTAATATACAACACCCAAAAATCCTACTTAAAGAAATAAAGTTGAAGTTTGTCACATTGTTGAATTTAAAAAGGTTGTTAAAATGATTGTTAAATGCATATTTTTATAAATTTTTATTAAAAATACACTATTTTAAATGATTAAGTCTTTTTTTGATGCGGACGAACGAACAAACTGTCTTCTGCCATTAAGATCCTGAAAAAAATGATAAAATTACATTTTAAAAGTAAATACCACTTCATATTTTCAATATATTACACAATGATTTGTAAATAAATAATTTATTATTAATAACAAGGTCCAGATAACCAACTTTATACAACTGCTCAATGACTTCATTTTTTTTTCGCAATGAAACCACAACTCCAGCCATTGAATCGATTGTATATGATTTTAGCATAAAAACAACAAACTGGTACTCATGAAAATCACGGATCTGTGGATACTGTTACGTTAATTTTTTTACCAAAGCAACTAGACCAGTGGTTCTCAAACTTTTTTAGTAGGGCTAAACTTAGGCTAAAAATATTTCGAGGCACACCAACCCTTGAAGCGATTTGGGAAACGACAATGAAAAAAATACAATTCTGAGGCTCATTTGATTTCAATATAAACTTTATTTCAGATCAATAAAATACAGTACATTTGATATTCAAATATCCTTAGTTATGTCCAGTTGCACCAACAAATAAACGATTGATTTTTTGATTTGGATTGCCCGTTTATTTTAGAATGTGTTGCACCAACCATTACTCGATTGGAATCGACTGTTTTTGATCTGTCAAAAGTAACCAACCGATTTGCTACGGTTATTTAAAAAATCGACTGTTTTTAACCTCACTTTTACCCTGTTTATATTATAGTGTTTTTAGCAAAGATTTTATTTAAAGTATTATAGATTGTAATAAAAAAAAATCGATTTATCTTCATCGTCGTCGTTGAGTTAATCTTCGTTGACGATTTGGAAGATATAATGCATATGTTACCAAATATAAAATATGTAAGAGATCGCAATGCTTGTATAATAAATATAATGAAGTTGAATTTAAGGCAAGGTATATATAATCATTATTTATGTGAATGACTACAGTAAATTCAACTTCAAGTTACGGACAGAATCAACACAAGTCACCGCGTGATATTCGAGTCTACACGTGACGAACGCCTTGCTATTGGCCAAATTGTCGAACGATCGTAAGTCAGGCAGTTAGCCCTAACAGGTGCGGACTTCGTTTTTCCGCTCCGTCCTCTGTCGAATGCGAAATGGCCCAGTAATTTTTGTGCAAAGCTGTTTGTTGGTTTGTTTATTTGTTAATCGTTAGCTCGTGTGTGGATAGTGCAAAGCATTTTTAAGAACATTTAATTATAGTCGATACAAACTTTTTCCCCACTTTAAAATAATTCCTGTAAGTATAATAAAGCATTTATAATAGCCATAAGATAAGATATAATATCGACCTGCACTGATATGTTTAATGGATAAAAATTATTTAGTATGTTAAAAATTATGAAAAACAAGAGGTGCCCGATATAATTTTGTCCTGACTATAATTAATTTAAACTCTTTGCGGCACGAGATCTTATAAATTTTCTAAAATGGACCCTTGGGGCATAGAAAGATTCAATTGCACACGTAAAAAGTAAAATGACCTCACTTTTCAAGAAACAACTGATAACCATTCGCGTTTGGCCAATAACTATACCGTGGGAATTTTACCAATTAAAGATAACACTTAATAGGGACAGAGGGAATAAGTAATACAAACCACTTGCGTAGGTGTAACTTGATAAAAATAGATTAATAAGTGATTCATTTTGTGGACTACTGTACAACATGTAGCAAAAATTTGGTGGTTCAAATTTCAATCCGATGTGCCGAAAAGAGTTAAAAAATACCTTTTTTTATATATTTAAAAAAAATCAACCCGGGCAGATATTGTTTTAGATTTTTTGGATCATTCTAAACAAAAATTTATTTTGTAATTTTTCTTAAGTTGATCGTGTTCGAGTTATAAATAATTTAAAACTGGAAGACAAGGAAGAATTGACAGGCGAACAAGAATTGACAGACGAAAAAGAATTGACAGACGAAGAACGATAGATGACGATTTTCAAGGATCAAAATCATTAGTAAAAAATATCACATTTACCAAAGCGGTGTAGGTAAACCTTATATCGGATCCTCTACTATAAAAGTAAATTTGAAAATGCCCATTTTGTTATTTTAGTTGAGAAAAGTATAATAAATCCATTTATTTAATATGTCTGATACGGAGTCGGCAAATGAAAATGAGGAACTGTTAACGCTAAGTCCTCCTAGGAAAAGAGCTAAGAAAAATCACGTAGATATAAGAATCAAAAAAATAATGGTTAATACATACAAATGTGAATTACAAGATAATCCTACTTTAGCGTTCCAAACACTGGAAAAAAATGCTATAATTGTAATGGACAATGCCCCTTACCATTCCAGAAAATTGGAAAAAATTCCCATTATGGCTACAAAAAAGGCAGATATTCAAAATTGGCTTCGCTCAAAAGACATTCCCTTTGAAGAAACGATGTTAAAGGTGCAACTTTTAGAAATCGTTAAACAACATAAAGGCGAATATAATAAGTACATAGTAGATGAACTGGTAAGAAGCACAAATAGAATAGTTTTAAGGTTGCCACCGTATCACTGCGAGTTCAATCCAATCGAGCTTGTATGGGCGGAAGTCAAGAATTATGTAGCATGGCATAACACAACATTTAAATTTGCTGACATTAAAAATTTATTTCATGAAGCTGTGTCTGCTGTAACCATGGAAAAATGGAAAAACTGCGTCAAACATGTAAAAGAAGAAGTGGAGCCAAAAATGTGGGAGTTGGACAATTTAATTGAGGCACAAATTGAGCCTATCATTATCAACTTTAATGATGACAACAGTACATCAGATTCTGAAAGTTAAGATAAAATACGGTAATTTTATAAACTTTTTTTTGTATACTTTATTTTGTTGTTAATAACTCTCGACTTTGTAAATCATTTTTATATTTAAAAAATTGGTGTACTATAATCTGTACCTGTCAGACGTCTACAAATTATATAAGGTTTTGTATTGCAGCTTTAATTTACTAGTCCGGCCCTGAACAAACGCGTGTTTCCAGCGTGCATTTGTTTCCATCGTCCGTAGCTTGAAGTTGAATTTACTGTAGTATCTGAATGACTAGAAATGCATTTTCATTATTTTTAGATATCGAGTAAGCAAGAAAACAGTGTTGGTCCTTTTAGGATGTTTATTTTCTATAATAAATTTATATTTAATTGCTAGATCTAAAATTATATCTTTCTCTAAACTAGAGAAGTAGCTTCCTTTATTTTCCATCTTAAGTAACACTACACACCTACAAAATTGCAATAAAACAATGTTCAAAGACCATGGTGTAAATGGTCTTTGACAATGTTATTATAATAGTTTAATGTTCAATTTAATTGGCATAACCCTAACTCGATGGCATAACCTTACAAAACTTTCTTTGTTGACAATATTTTTGACAGATCACACTCCGATTCGAATGAAATTATCGAAATAATCTGTACTCGTGCAATGTTGCCACGTATAAATTGTCGGTTTGTAAACCAGTAGTTTTTTAGAATGGTGCAACTCGTTTGAAAAATAACCATTGATCGTTGATTTAAATCGTCGAATTGACGGTTAGCAAATCAGTTGATTTACAGTGTGTTGGTGCAACGGGCATTAATGTGATGAATGAAACTGTTTCGACGATGTTTACACTATATCCTTTATAATTATGGGAATCTTTGTAAGTTTGACCCTCAAATCCCTTGATGCTTGAAGTATGTTTCTGTATTTGTTTTAATGTAAGCATATGGAGAAAGAAGACTCACAGAGATAAGTCGATGTGAAACAAACAAGTTTTTTCACTGCAACCTTGCAACAACATTATTTTCTGAATATACCTGCATCCAGAACTCTTCTTGGCTGTTTCACGGTATTTGAGTTTTAAACTGCTATCTTCGCTGATCTCAAGTAGATTTTGGAAACTTCATTTGTCATTCCGACAGGTTTATTTTTTGTCACGAAAACGAGTCCATCATCCAGCTAAATAAGTCATCTGAGTCAGTGTCAGGAAAATAGTTTACAATACTTTCTTGCAAATGAGCAATAACAATTTCAAATTGAGAGAAATTTGTGAGGTTCCTCTTTTCAACACATTCTTTGAAAAATGTAACTTTTTACGCAAGGCTTTGATTTTATCTAATTGTGTTCCTCCGTTGCCTTGAAGCGAAGTGGTGGTTTTATTTATTATTTCGAAGATGTCTGAAAGGTATCCCAATTTTAGCAGCCAATTGACATCTTTTAATTCTTGGATGAAAGATTCTTCTATAAATGTGATAATCAGTGGGTATTTTAGTTCAAATAGTCTGTCTAAAATTGTTCCCCTCGATAGCCACCGGACCTCTGTGTGGCGCAAAAGATTGAAGTGATCCATACCCATATCTTCAGCGGTGAGCTTTAAAAGACGTGCTTGAAGCGGACGGCTCTTCACATGGTTAATTATTTTCACAGAACCATCCAATACGTCTTTCAAATCTTGCGGCATCTTTTTAGTTGCCAAAGAATGGCGATGTAAGATACAATGACTGCTGGAGGCATTTTCTGCCACTACCTTTATTCTAGACACCGCCCCTCTAATTTTACCAACCATTGCAGCCGCTCCATCACTGCAAATATCCACACATTTACTCCACTCTATATCATTTTTTCTTATATACTCGTGGATAGCCTTGAAAATTTCTTCACCAGTGGCATAACTTTTAAGCTCTTCACACATAAGGAGTTCTTCTATTTTCATCCCGAATGGAAACCTCACAAACACAAGCAGAACAGCAACGTCGGTACTTTCATCAAGCTGTAAACTGAAGAATTCACAAGTTTTTAATCTATTTATAAGCTCTCTCTCTACAAAGTCTGAAATAGTGTGAATTCTCTTGCTTATAGTGCTGTTTGACATCTGCACATTATCAATCTTCTTGGTCATATCTGGACCTAACATGCATTGTACGACATCCTTCACGCCAGGTTTAATCAGTTTCTCGGCAATGGTATGGGGTTTTTCATGATACAAATACAAACAGATAAGATACCGCGCATGTGGGCGTGGCTTATGCATGCCTTTTGTGACGTCAACTTGTGCTAAATTTCGCCATATTGTGTTTTGACGTTTATGTACATTTACGGTTCATAGCCAATATTTAATAAAATAATATTTTAAAAGTGTTACAAGGCTTTAAATTTTTCCCGATATGAGGTGTGCAGTGTATGGTTGTGCCGTTGACAATATGTGCAAGAGTTTTGTACCCGGTACAGCATTTTATAGCTTTCCAAAAGACAAGGAAATGCAAGCTGTTTGGAAACATTTGTGTAAACGCCAGGATAATTTTAATGTTAAATTTGCTCGTGTTTGCTCTAAGCACTTTGTTGAAAGTGATTGAAGTGATGAATCGGTCATTCAGGTTGGCAAAATATAAAACAGAAGTCAACTACTTTATAAGTTTATAGAAGACGTTTCGCTTTATACTTCTAAAGCTTCATCAGTTCTAACTCAATATGTAGTATTAAAGATGTTATTATATATGTACTTAAGTTTACTCATTATTTAGAACTAACTTAAAAAAAAAACAGAAACAAAGGACACAAAAACTTTGCAAAAAATAATATTCGCAGAAACGAAGATTTAACAAAATTTTAAACGTACATTTGGCTTCATTTAGAGATGGTTCTCCAATGAAGACAAACAAAACACTGTGAGTTTGCTCATGAGAACCATCTCTAAATGAAGCCAAATGTACGTTTAAAATTTTGTTAAATCTTCGTTTCTGCGAATGATATTATTTTTTGCAAAGTTTTTGTGTCCTTTGTTTCTGTTTTTTTTTTAAGTTAGTTCTAAATAATGAGTAAACTTAAGTACATATATAATAACATCTTTAATACTACATATTGAGTTAGAACTGATGAAGCTTTAGAAGTATAAAGCGAAATGTCTTCTATAAACTTATGAAGTAGTTGACTTCTGTTTTTTATTTTGCCAACCTGAACGACCGATTAACCTCTGAATTCACTAGTTGAATACTTTATTAATATATATATATATATATATATATATATATATATATATATATATATATATATATATATATGGAGATTAAATAATTATAACCATATTTTAGCATATCCTGAAGAAGCTAATACATTTTGTGAAAGCTAAATAAAAGAACAAAGAGTTTTACTTATTCTGCCCTATTAATGACTGCAACCTCAAAAGAAATAGTTTACCTAACGTGTCAGTCAATAATACCTAACTACTATATATAAAATATATATTGTATGAAAATCACATTCCATAGTTTGCAATTTGTGGCATTCGGCCATGGCTCCCTCCATCAAACTTCACTCTTATGGGAAAATTGTTATTTTTTACAATATACTAATTTAAATACTTAAGCTTAAATTCACGTAGTAAATAAAACATCTAGTAAATTATATTAGAATTTCAACAGTTCGTTTCATCCGCAAGCATGAATACATTTTGAAAATTTAGCACAAGGTGACGTCATGCGCGTGAGTGTACGAGTTTAGTGCGTGGCAATATCATATCTGGTATCCTTATATCATGGGGTTTTCCAGCTTTTGCAATGTACAAACCAACAATAAATGATGCTTCAGTGGCGTTTTCGTTTTCATTTTTGCAGACTCTTTCCATCATGCATGACCCTGCCTGAAGAGATAAAGCACGACGTTTGAAGGTTTCTTCGGCCTTATCGGCTAAACCAGGATGATTACTTTCCAAATGTCTTTTTAATTTAGATGGAACCAAGCACCCAGTTATATCTAAAACTTCACTTTGAAATCTAACTCTAATATTTACAAAACTCACTTATCGGTTGCAAGAATTAAACTGTGGAATGAATGCAGGTAGCAGTCGAATTCGGTTGTTTGTTTCTCGGTCACCACCGAGAATACACCAGTATTCTAATTATGACCTTAATGCTTTTTTAAGTCCTCTAGTGATGTTAACTGAATTTTATCAATTTTTGAGTTAAGCCACTATTGCCTACAGCCGACGATATAGAATAAATACTGCCTGAAATCGAGGAAAAATCCTGATACATGAGGAAAAAGCGGAAAAACAAATTCGAACGGTATACTTCAAATATACTTACAGATTGGCATTACTAGCCATTCCAGGTACAGAAATCGGGGTCAGTTTCGTCTCTTCGGGAACCTTCACAGTTAACGAGGATTTCGGTCCCGTTTTCCAGGTGTTAGTCTGCTCATCTATGACTGACGCTTCAACCGCCAACAGATAATGACCTCCCCTGGGAAAGGCCAATAAAAATTGAGCGGTAAAGAAATCTTTATGGGGGGTAACTGTTTGAGTCAGAAGCGATACTTGTTCAAGTAACTGAAAAATAAAATTTAGTGTACTAGTCGAACTAACCATACATAATAAAAATATACACGATGCCCCAACGAAAATCTGTACCGCCTAAAGTTCGGCAAACTAAATGTTTTATTAACAAACAAAAACTGTTGACTTTTATATCGGAGAGACCAATTGTATACCGAAAAATGAAGCATGAGAATAATAATGGTGAAAATTCGCGTCATTCACATAAAATGTATCTAGATTTATCAGTATAAAGCTGGTATAACTCCTTGTTTCAGCCCCGGTCATTAGATGGCGCCATCTTACTCTTATCTCGATTTTAATTCAATATAGTTCACTGTAAAAATGTTATAATAATGCATTCAGAATAATACTGGAACATCTGAGAAGTTAGACCATTATTACTTTCAATAACCGAATATATTTCACAATATTCTATTGTGTTTATAGCAGAATACGAGTTTTATAATGGATGAATTTAGTGATTTCAGTGAGTCTGGGTCTGGATATCCTAGTAAAAGCTGAGATTCTTCTGGTAAGTATAATTTTCATAATTTTAGGCGCATTAATTAGGTAATTCGTAGTGTTCTGCGAATCGTCACGACAATGTTTCACCAAAGAATATAGACGCTTTTCACCTTGTAATGCTCAATGTATAGTAGCCTCGTATTTCCGTGAGACTGTGCAAAAATATATGTATCTGTAATAAAATCATTCAACAAAAAGGTACTCTACCAGGAGTCTGTAAAATTATCAATGACTCAGACGTATAATAATACAAAGTTTCCAGATTCCACTCGATATTAACATTCAGACGTGCCTGGTATAATCTTTTAAAATATGAACCAGATATGAACAATCAACCAATTAAGTTTTCATCGAACTTATGACAAGTCCACGTGGACTAACGGCCAATGAAAACATCGGATATCGCTGTTATGACAAATCATAATGCATTATCTTTTGTCGGTAGACTTATTCATACTTGGGGTAAGATTATATCAGTATTTGACTGAGCTTACGGAGTCATAAAATAAGGGATCAGGTTTCGACCGTCCAGTGCCGAAGGCACGGGACGGGGAAAACTTAGGTAGGCAAATTTTTATAATATTTTATTTTTAAATTGCGGAGATGACCAACAGATTTTTGGGAGACAAGAATATTTTTAGTAAAATCATAACTGCTACAGCGTTCAGTTAAATTCAAATTTCAAATAGTGAACCGCAAGTTAGTTTGGTAGTGACTTTTTTCAGTGTTCTTTATACGGAAAACATTTTATATTTTACGTTTTTTACTTTTTTTGATACGTTTTTATTGATTATGTTTTTATACGTTTGATAATTTTAAAATATTGCGTCCGTGGTGCGATAATAATTATGTAGCTGAAGAGACAATGGAACCCTCTAATCGATTGGAAGATTTACAAAGGCGTGTAGTAAAACGTAAGCGACATTTTCAATACCTTTCTGATGATGCCAAACGTATGCTAAAAAATGTTTATGAAGGACTGTGTGCTGAATTGTCTAATTCAGAGGCAATTGCAGAAACATGTTTTTTAACCAGAGTGCCCAAAGCAACCCACTACAAAATTATAGGAGAAACATCTTCTTCTAGACAGAAGAGAAAGGATTGTGGCAAATTCAGAAAAATAGAACCGCACTTAATTGAATCTATAACTAGAACAATATACCAAATGTATGCGGCTAATATTTTTCCAACTATTGAAAGCCTTCGAAGTGAATTAGTTCGAAAGTGCATTCTCTCGTGTTCAGCAACAACACTTCGATTATTTCTTAAAGCCAATAATTTTAAGTACAAAACTATAGACAAGAGACAGACATTAATGGAAAGTACTAGAATAATTTCTTTAAGAAACAATTATATCAGACAGATAACTGAGTATCGAAAAATGAAACGAAATATTGTTTATTTAGATGAGACCTGGTATGATACTCATGACACCGTGAAAAAAAAGTTGGACAAATAATAACAAAAAGTGTTTCAACTCAGTACCGCCCAATAAAAGAAAGAGAATTATAATTTTACACTGCGGTGAAGAAAATGGATGGGTCGACGATGCATTATTAATATCTACAAAACAAATTAAAAACGCGTCTCTGGATTATCATGACGATATGGAAAGTTCAATTTTTGAATCATGGTTTGAAAAATGTCTTCTTCCGAAATTACTTAAAGATAGTGTGATTATCATGGACAACGCATCATATCATTCAAGATTAATGAAAAAAACTTCAAATAATAGTTGGAATAAATTAAAAATTCAGGATTTTTTATTCACGGAAGATTTGTATTTTGAGACATCTTATATTAAAAAGCAATTGTTGGAGGTTGTTCATAGTAAACAGTACGAAAAGGAATATGTTGTTGACAACTGAGAAGTCACAAAAATTACAGCAACCAACTGGAAAAATGTAATAAAAATAAAACATGTGATCGGAGTGGAAAATAACTATGTTAAATATTTACCATCATTAACCAAATTACATATAAATTTAGATGATACGAGTGATACTAGTGATAACAGCGATTCTGAGTAGATAGTAAGTACTTATTAGGTGTTAGTTGAAACCTTTATTTCTATTTTAATTGTAGATATTCTCATTTTGCTTATATATCTTTGAAAACAGGGTATAAACACACTTCTTGATAGGACAAAAATTATTAATGTTTTAGGGGAGGATGTCAACTGAAACTGTCACTGCCATTCTCGCTGAATAACTACTATTATTAACAATGTTTTATATAGATATTATTATTTTACAATAAGTTCTGTTCAGTCGAGTCGATTAGTGTTATCACTCCCAAGATATATCACAGAAGTTAAAAACACCGATATTTTTTATTTAAACTTTATAGAAAATGAAACTTTTTGGTAAATAAAATCAAATAAAAGTAAGAACTTTTATTTAATTTAAAATTAGATATCTACGCTACTGTTCTACTACTATATACTACAATAAAGGAGTGGTAACTCTAACAGCGTTGCCATTTTACTAGTATTTTGCTTGTTTTGGTCTCTGTAAATTTTCTCACGAAATTACGTGCCGACTATACGCTGAGTATGCTATGCCGATAAGACAGTAAAAGAGAAAATTAATGATACAAGCTTTCTTACCTTAGGATCCACAATATCCTTGTTTTTCGAATTGCTCTGTAACTGCGAAGTAACGTTAATAACGACTTCTTTTATTTTTCTAAATAGACCTGGTTTCATTCCGTGCTGTATCACACCTTCCACTTTCACAGCCAACTGTGACCCTGCCTGAACACTTATGAATTCTCCAGATACCCTAGGTTGTGGAGAAATGGCTAGTTTTACGCTTGTTGATTGTAATACTTGGAAAAAGTACCTCGGTATTGATAAAGATGCATTCACGAGGATCTCTATGATTTTTTTAAGAACTTCCACTTGCTGCAAATAAATAATATATTTATATTAATTGACAAGTTTTAGGTAGGATAACTTTATATAGGGAGATAGCTTGGGACTAAATATAAACACAAATAAAACAAAAGTAATGGCTGTTACACGTGCACCAAATGTCGACATTAATATTCGTATCTATAACAAACATATAGAACCAGTACAAAGATTCCAGTATCTTGGTTGCTGGATAACAAACGATCTTGACCACGAGGTCGAAATACGTGCTCGTATAGAATATGCTAGGTCCGCATTTCAACGAATGAAAAAATTCCTAATAAACTCTACGTTATCGTTGGATATCCGATACCAATTTGTAAAAACGTTTATTTATTCCATATTGCTATACGGAGTGGAAACATGGACTCTCGGAAATTACAAGTATGAGGCGTATAGAAGCCTTTGAGATGTGGGTTTTTCGAAGGATGCTGAAGATCTCTTGGACAGAGCACGTGACCAACAACGAGGTGCTAAGAAGAGTGGCTATTGAGAGAGAACTCTAAATATTGTAAAAAAACAGAAAACCGAGTTATCAAGGACATATTTACAGATAGACAAATACAACTTCCTACGACTTATAATGGAAAGGAAAGTGGACGGAAGAAGAAAATGCTCCTGGTTGAAGAATGTAAGAGACTGGACAGGTATGGACACACATTGGATACTAAGAACAGCTCAAGATAGAGAGCAATTTTCTGTAGTTATAGCCAACCTTCAATAATGGAGAAGACACCTTAAGAAGAAGAACTTTATATAATTTATTTGATGCCTGGTTGCACCAACATATTTTAAGTTTAAGACGTGCCTTAAGCTCAATTTTCAGCTTGAACCGATGCTAATTTCAAGTCCCCGTTATTCTCAGCTTAAGTTGCTGTCTGAGGTTAAGATGAACGATCTAACCTCAAAAAATTGACAGTTGTGTTGGGCCCCATGTCAAACTAAAAGTACTTAGCGGGCCATTTTTAAAATGATCACAGTATCAATGGGCCGAACCGCAAGACTCGGCCAAACAAAAAAAAAATGTATAGTAAAGATAGTCCAGCAATCGTTTAATAGTTTAATTACATAATAAAAGTAAATAATTGAACAAAACAGGTAGGTAAGTTAAGTTGCAATAATTACAATTTTTTCCCTGAAATCTGACACCTTTTATCTTTAATTAAGTTATCTATTTGAGGAGTAAATTTATCTGCTGAAATCAATTTCAGTACTGCATCCAAGTGTGTGTCAGTCAATCGCGATCGTGTCGGTGATTTATTTCCTTTCATCAAGGAAAATAATTGCTCGCACTGATAGGTACTTCCGAACATTGATATCCTTTTGCAAGCAAAGTTCCGTAGTTCTTCATACTGGACAGGTAGGTACTTATAAAATTCAGATGAACCAACATCATTAAATTTTTGTTTCAAGTGAGTCTGACATTGAATTTCAATGACATCCATCTACAAGTGATCGGGAACTTTTTCTATGTCAATGGAGAAAAGGCCTGTGAATAAGGAAAACTTTGCCTTGAATCTTGAAGTCTAAAATCATGAAAACGTCTCTCAAACTCAGCCTGCAGACTTCTAATTTTCTCGACATATTTATTATACGAAATTTCGACACTACTATTTTTTTTGGAAGTCCTTACATGTCGGAAAATGCGACAAATTATTAACTGCTAACTGCTTTTCCCACAATAATAACTTGCACTTGAAAGCTTTTACTTGATCGTTCATGTCTGTAATAATTTGACGTGGTACTTGCAACTTTGTATTTAGCTCTGATAGGTGTTTTGTGATCTTCTTCTTCTACGGCATTACAGCCCAAAATGAGCCTTGGCCTCCTTTATTTTTTGCCTCCACCCTTGTCTGTCTGTGGCTGCTCTTCTCCATACACGGACTCCTAAAAGTGCTTGTGCGTCGCTGCTTACTGTGTCTTCCCAGCGCTTTCTTGGCTTTCCAACTGGTCTCTTTCCCTGCATTCTGGCGTTCAGTGCTCGTTTTGGTAGCCTATCCTCTCCCATTCGTATCACATGTCTGGCCCATTGCAATCTTTGTATTCTAATGAAGTCTGACAGGGGTGTTTCCTTATACAGTTGATAGAGCTCGTTGTTATATCGAATTCTGAAGATTCCGTTTTCCCTCACAGGTCCTAGTATTCTCCTCAGTACTTTTCTTTCGAATGTGTCGAGTTTGTTTTTGGATGTTTCTTTCAGGACCCATGCTTCGCTGCCATAACATGCTATTGGCCGAATTAAAGTTTTATAGATAGGTGTTTTGTGATATCTACCATAAAAGAAAGATCTTGTAAAAACGATACATCGGACAGCAAACTGACATCTTGGTTTTTTATTTCCATGAAAAGTCGTATTTCCTCTCTTAGTTTCCAAAATCGATCGAGAACCATAGAACACGAAAGCCACCGCACCTCCGTATAATAAGGCAAGCCCGCGTATTCACTTTCTAAATCGCGTAGAAACGCAGTAAATTATCGCTAATTCAAACCACGTGATCTTATAAAGTTAATAATTTTTTTTACTGCTTTTAACACACTTTCCATCTTTATCACTTTTGAACATAGGATTTCTTGGTGTATTATACAATGAACGTGGTGAAAATCTGGTACGTCTTTGTATGTCTCCTTAATTCTGGTCTGTAATAATTTAATGAAGCCATTATTTATTCCTGTCATAGAAGGAGCCCCGTCAGTTGCAACAGAAGGCAATTTTGATAAATTCAAATTATACCGTTGTAGCAGTTCATACACAGCATTCAATATATCCTCCCCAGTCGTTGTGTCATGCAAAGGCACCAATTCCAGTAGTTCTTCATAAATATTCATTTCTTTATCAAACGAAAAAAAAAAAAAAAACAGCGAGTTAAGCCACACTACACACGTCTGTACTTTCGTCGCAGGCAATTGAAAATGCGATAAAAGTATCTGATTTCATTTTTATTTGATCGCTTATGTTACTAGCCAACTCAGTGACTCTTTCAGCGACTGTATTGCGCGACAAAGATATACTTTGAAAAGCTTTAACGCTTCTGGGACAAACAATTTCTGCGGCTTTCACGAGGCACTCTTTTATAAATTCACCTTCAGCAAAAGGTTTTGAGTGTTTGGCGATTAATGTTGAAAGTACGTAACTTGCATAAACAGCAGACTCATTTTCTTGTTTAGCTCGTGTAAACATGAGTTGTTGATTTGTTAATCGTGCTTTTAACTCGGTTAATTTTTCATTTCTTATTGCCCCCACATACTGGTTATACTTAGCTTTGTGCTGATCATAGTGACGTTTGATATTGTATAATTTAGGGACAGTCACTGTACTGTTACAAATCAGGCAAATAATTTTGTCTTTCACTTCACTGCAAAAAAAACTCCATTTTTCTTGAAATACTCGATGTTCGTCTGTGATTTTCCTCTTACTTTCACTTGGTTTTGAAAGAGACATTTTACAGTAGTAGTGGCATAAATAATCTCTAAAAAACGATCTGCTATTTCGATAAATTAAAATCACAGAATAAAACACAACAGAGTGGCGCGTCGATGTCGATCGGTCGTCAACTGGTACTTTCTGGTTGGTTGGTTACATTCTTACTTACTGGCCGCCCGCCTGCCGCCTCCTGCATAGCAACAGGCTGGCGCAGGCGCAGGTATTAAGTAGCCTCGCCCGAAATGTAATAGAAAACACTTGAAAATATTATCTGTCATTATCGGTTTGTACATAATAGACGGCCTTAAAGATAGTAGTGTCCACTTTATTGGTTAAACGAAAATAAACTTTATTTAACAGGCAGTGGAGGTTTTTGCAACAAAATTACCTGCTATTTCGCAAACAATAGAACCCAAGATAAAGCGGTCAGACCGCAGGGGTGCTAATTTTTATCACCTTATCACCAGATCCTTCTCTCACAAGACATTTCCAACAATCACAATATGTACTTCTCAAGTATTGCAGTTGCAGTGCGTGCGGGAGAGAAGCACAGCCATTTTCTGTCCCTGTGCTCTTCATGCGTTCTTATAAAACGTTTTAACTATTGTACTACATACATTGGGTTGGGCTTCGTGGGCAGCAGAAAATTACCTGATATGATCGGGCTACGGGCCGCAAGAAAATGCCTGAAGGGCCGCATGTTTGACATGCCTGTGTTAGGGAATACAGATATACTCGTTTTCATCGTTCTTGGCGTGTTCCTGAAATAAGCTACTACGGAATTTTTAATATTCGTCTCTCTCTGATACACAGATGCGTAATTCAATTGTGCGAGTCACGTTCGCCATGGTAAAGTGCGATGAGAAGGGAATGAAGAGAACACTCACGTCTCCCAGTATTGTAGCAATAACACCGATACGGTGTCGGTATACGATAGCTGGTCGCTGACTGGCCCTTCAATAACTTCAGCTAACACATATGTACTATGTTTATGACCTTTGTATTTTGAATATATGTTCGATAATCCGAACAATTTGATAATCCGAACGACCCCTGTACCAATAAGTTCGGATTATCGACGCTCTACTGTACTATATTCGCCGTCGCAGCACATATTTACTTGTCGATAACAGTTTTTAGAGAACATGAATCATTTTCGAATGATATGTGTAAATTTAAGAAATTGATTCCGGTAAAAGCTTTAATCGTAGGAAGTCACGTACCTATATTCCCATAATAATAAGGTAAGATCGGGTAATTTCGAAATTCACAGAACGACAAAGGCACTAACAGACATAATAATAGAATAATTTATAATAAAATAATTCAATATGAATGCCTTGGGAATTGTATGATTTTCCAACAGGTGGCCTTGACTACAGCAGTGGGCTTAAGAAAGCGTAGTTACCACAATTACCTCAATGTATATTACCTATGTCCAGCTGAAAGATTAACGCACTGTATATGTTACGGAAAAAACTCGTTATAATCTAAACAGTCGCTATTTGAACTTAATGGAAATCGTCACTTACGTTATGTGTTATAGTAGAATTGATTCCATCTTCACCAATACTTTGTGCAATCTTGAGAGCACTTTCACAAGCTTTGACCAGTTGTTGAGATTCTAATCTGGTAGTCTTTGACCCAAATTCAATATATTCGTCTTTTATTTTACTACCATTGACGCATACACTTTCTACACATTTTTCCAGTAGCACGCACATCTGTTGCAGACTAGAATAGAAAATAGAAAAAATATATAAATAAATTTAGTATAACAAAACCTACTTTAACTCAATATAAGGTTGAATGTTCGAATAATTAAACTTTGAGGGTATACAAGGCAACTATCGAACACGGTGATTAATTTAATCTTGCCCAAGTACTTTCGATCAATAGATCATCTTCAGGGGCATCTGAAATAAGCCAAGAAACGTTTTTTATAAAAAGGAAAATTAATTCACTTGGATAAAAAACTCCAAGTTTATGGTTGAAAAAATTTTATATGTGATAAACGTTTATAGACTTACTTCGTCAGTTGTGGCCTATCCGACATAGTAGAATGTCATAAATGTAAAATTTGGACATAACAATACAAAATACAATACACTAAGACAAACAAACACTTTAAAATTTTTAAGGAGAAGCTACATGTTGTATAGAAGCCGGAGACAGAATGGGCTCCCGGTCTGACGGAAATATAGAGATGACATGTGACAAATGACAGCTTGTGAAGGGCAGTTATGTGATCTGCACCTTTCAAAATTCTATGACACTAAGTATTGACCAAAGGTCCAACTGACACCACTATAGGAAATCAACTGATGAAATATAAAATTATATAGTATATTTTTTATGTAGATTGAATAATCCCAATCTCACACTCAAACCTGTCTATAATAATTAGGATGTTAGTTTGAGAGCAATTGAAGTTGACATAAAGTATGAATGTGAGAAAAGACTAACAATATATTAGACAGTGGATGGTTGACTACAATAAAATGGTCCACCAAGCGCTATCAGTACTGTAAAAAAGAAAAATCTGAATATGCAGTTAAATTACTAAAAGTTAAAATCAAAATTGAAGACAAAATATATAAATGGGTTATAGTCCACGTAGTTCAGTTGAATCCACAGTCAATGGAAGAACTTTAAAATTAATATTGAAATGCTCAGTGCATGAAGTCTAAACAGTCGAGCTGGGTCCTCTACGAGGTGAAGCTGTAATAAAGTTTTTAAATATAGGATTAAATTTAGTACAATTTAAATTAATTTGAGTATTAAGACAGTGAGAGTTTTCATTTGTTTCCCTTGTAATCTCCAAATCTTCCAATAAATCCAACTCAAGATAGTTTTTCTTTCTGCTAATGTCATGTAAGATAGATGAACCAGAATTGATGTTAAAATTGTGGTTGCTGAATACTAAGTGTTGACCAATACTTGAAGAATTTGGTCTTTTCAAATGTTCAGAGACTCTAGTGGATAACTTTCTGATGGTTCTACCTACATAAGAGGCATCACAATCATCACATTTTAATTTGTAAATACCACTTTTATCAAGGTTATTCATCCTATCTTTGGTATTGATTAAGAAGGAACCTAAAGTGTTATGTGATTTAAAGGAAATTTTGATGTTATCAATTGTAGAAGTAAAAAGTTTAGATACTTTATTGGAAATGCTACTAATATAAGTGAAGGAGAAATATCTGATGTTATCTGAAGCATTCGGTTGAAAAAACTGTGAAGAATATGCAAGCTTTGCATTATGCAATATGCAAGTTCTGTATTAAAATTATCATCAGAAAGATTTAGTTAGATTTAAGTAAATCTTCCAATACTTACATTTGCATATTTTCTAAGGTAGCAGGATCAGCATCAAAAGTAGTTTGGTACAATTTCCAATGCAAATCGCCACAATTCTTGAAGTCCTTGACACATTTTCGGAGTTGGTTAGTAATATAGCCGTGCCTTTGATATTCATCTCTCGTACTTTGCACTATGGTGGCTGCTATGGCAGGAGGAGGCACTATGCACAAAATGTTACAACTATAAATTAACTGAAGTAAACATTGTAAATATTCACTTCGAATTTTCATGTACTCTGCTTGGAATGTGAGGGTGTGTTGTGGGGTACTGGCAGCCTAAAAGCGTAACAAAACGAAAAATTGAGTGTGTCAATGTTAAAAAATAATGACAAGGACAGAAGATGTACTTCTAAACATATGTAATTATAATAACACGGGCCAACAAAAAAAAAAAAAAAGAATTATATGAATCCTATGTAATTATGCAATTTATATATAACAAGCGAGTCTTCTACAGCTGGCGCCGCTTCTCGCATCCTAATTTCCAGCGTTTTCTGTCGAAGCAATCTTCAGTTGTTAGATCTCTGGCGGTCATTGCATCGTCGACATCGTCTCTCCAGGATCGTCTTGGTCTACCTCGTTTTCTTCTAGTTGGCGGAGTCCATTCTTCTATTTTTTATTGGCCATCTGTTTTCCGGCATTCTCTGAAGGTGTCCATACCAGTTAAGTCTTTTGGCTTCGATTGTGTCTATTATGCCTAGATCGATTTCCATTTCTCTCCGAATATCTTCGTTTCTCACCCTATCAAGTCTAGTGAGCTGGCAACATCGTCTCCAGTAGTTCATTTCCATGGCCTTAATTTTTGATTTGTTTCTTTGGTTTATTTCCCAGAGTTCGGCGCCGTACAGTCCAATACTTTCTATTATTGTTTTATAAATTCTTCTTTTATTTTCTTTTGTTATTTTTTTATTCCATAATAGTCCGTGTAGCTGTCTGGTGGCTGATCTTGCTTGGCCAATCCTGGAATGTATTTCTTCGCTACTTCCTGCTTTTGATGTTATTTGGACTCCCAAGTACTTAAAATTGTCTGTTGGTTTTATAGTTCCCATTTCGATTTGTAGGCTTTCTGGTTTTTCTCCTACAACTAAGTACTCAGTTTTTTGTATATTAATTGTGAGGCCCCATGTGGTGTACTCATCTTCCAGTTTTCTAAGCATGTAGCTTATATCACTCTCGTCTTCAGCTAGAATGGCTTGGTCGTCAGCGAAGTGTATCGTATACAATCTATCATCTCCGATTGGGATGCCCATATTGCAGCACTTTCTTCTCCACAGTGAGAGTGCCTCATTTAGATATATTTTGAAGAGTGTAGGTGCTATGCAGCAGCCTTGCTTTAGGCCCTTACTAATAGGAATTTCTCTAGTTAATCTATTTCCAGTTTTAATGTTTGCCGTCATATTTTTATAGAGCTGTTGTACTGCTTGTATATTTTTTTTGCTTATTCCTTGTTTTTCCATTGCTACCCAAAGCATTGAAAGTGGTACACTATCGTATGCCTTTGTCAGATCTATAAAGACTATATGAGTTGAAAAGTTGTGGGCTAATCTTTTCTCGATAACTTGCTTTAGAGAGAATATACTGTCCATGCAGGATCTGCCTGCACGAAAGCCATTCTGTTCTTCTACATCTGTCATCTCTTTTTCAATTTTATTTTTTATTATTTTTCCATACAGTCTTGAGAGTGAATTTATGACACTTAGCCCCATGTAGTTTGAACAATTCTTTCTATCTCCTTTTTTGTAGATGTTGTTAATATGTGCTTTTGTCCACTCCGGTGGTAAGTCGTGTCCATTATAGAATAAGGTGAAGACATACGCCAGTAATTCCGTAATACTTGTGGGCTATGTTTTAATAATTCATTTGGTATACCTTGTGGTCCGCATGACTTCCGATTTTTTAGAGTTCGTATTGCATTCTCGACTTCCTGTACTGTTATTTCATCGTCTTCACTGAATTCCAGTTCATATGTTGTTGTACTGATGTTCGTGAATTGAGGTCTTGTTTCAGTCAAAAGTTGTGAGTAGTGTTCGATCCAAGATTTTTCTTCTATTAAATCTATTCTACTCGTTTCTTTTCTGTTTGTTCTCAGATTTTTTACCGTTTTCCATGCTTCTCTTGTTGACCCTATATATTTGTTGAGTTCTTCGCATTTACTTTCCCAGGAAATATTTTTTGCTTTAGTTACTAAATTTTTTACTTCTCTGTTTGATCTTGCATATGTTCGTCTATCATCTGGATCATTTGTTTGCAGCCACTTTTGATATGCTTGTTTCTTGTTGTGTACTGCATTGGCGATGTCATTGTCCACCACAATGGAGTATTCTTTTTGTTCTTTTGGATTGTGCCGAGCGCTTCGTAAGCTGCTTCATTGATTTTATTGATTATCTCTTTATAGGTATTCTGGGCTGAGGAGTAGATCAGGTTTGCCAATTTTTGGCTAAGTAGCAGCTTATATAAGAATGATGTCGAGTCGTTTTGCAGTGCATCAATATTGTATTTAGGTAGATTCGATTCCAGGGGTTTTGATTGAGCTAGTTGGTTGTCATTTTGATGTAGTAGCCGAGGTCGATACTGTAGGTAACATTTTGATCTTACCATATAGTGGTCAGTTCCGCACTCCGGTCCTCTTAATACTCTTATGTCTTCAACTTGTATGTGTGTTTCTTGTTTTGTGATGACATAATCTATAATTGACTTTGTGTTTCTCGTTGGTTGAACCCAGGTGTACTTATGTATGTTTTTATGTTGGTAGAATCCGTTTAGGATTTTCAGAGAGTGCTGTTCACAGAATTCGATTAAGTGTTCCCCATTTTCATTTGTTTTAGCGTCACCATATTTCCTACGACTTTGTCATTTATTTTTGTTCCTGTCCAAGCGTTAAAATCTCCCAACAGCATAATTTCTTTGCGGCTATTTATATTTTCAATGAGTTCCGATAAAGTTTCGTAGAATATTTGTTTAGCTGCTTTTGATGCATTTTCTGACAGAGCATATATTCCAATGATCTCGAGGTCGTGCCCTTTCCACGTAATAGATACTCTAATAATCTCTCATTGATCTGCTCCCAGCTTTTCAGGTTTCCTTTTAAGTCTTTTTTATCAATATTGATACCCCTGCTTGTGCTCTTTTGTCTTTCTCTACTCCACTATAAATATGTATAAAACCTCCTATGTCTTCACTACCTTGGCCTTTTTTCTTTGTTTAGGTAAGAACCGTGATATCTGATTTTATTTTCTTTACTTCTGCCATGACTTCGTCTGACTTGGTTCTCCACCCTTGGATATTCCATGTATTTATATTCAAAGTCCTTGTTCGTTTGCTACGTCGCTACAAATTATGCAATTTTAAATGTTAAATTGTGAAAGAATGATGGATGAATTATTTTCGGACTTGGCACACTAAAAATACATAAAATAGAGGTAATTTTATCAAAAAGCTTTTCCATTGTTGGCCTGTGTAATAGTTCTACAGTTTCATCATGTCATAATTCTCCACAGTATATGCTTTCCCGACACTATAGTAACTCTGTGCGAAATTGTTAACAATAAATTTTTATTGATGAACTTATTAATGAACTTTAAAGGAAATTTTGTAGGGATAATTGCAGATAAAATTCATATATTAATTCACCTTGCTTCAAATATAAAAATAAATATTTTTCATTAATTAAAATCAATGACGGACACATTTTGTCACCAGAATAAAAAAAGATAAAAATAAGAAAACAAATGAAAAAGTTAATGATGATAAAACAGAACTACAAACTTACCTTTAAGGCAGCTATAGCCTTGTTGTAATGTATCACAGCGGTATCCAGCCTATTAACAAGAGAATCTGAATCTTCACTGTAGAGCTGAGCTTCAGCCTCGGATAATTCTTTTAAACATATTAACCAAAAATGAAAATGTTCCGAACTAACCTGTTCCGCTAGTCCCAGAAAAATATGATGAGCTACCTGAAATGAGTCAATTCTGTCAGAAAATGAACGCAATTAAAGTACAGTGCTAAAAATCAGAAAGTACAAGATCTGTCCAGCTAGGTGATAATTTAATAAACTTTAAATATAATTTTCAGGTCATTTAGGTTTGTTCAGCATGTGATTTAGCTTGATATTGACTTTTAAACTACCTGTTCTTTTTTAAGGTTGTACTTCAAATATACTGGCGTTGTTCAAATTACTTTTTTCTCTACAGTAAAATGCTGAGGCTAGCCCACAAGATGGCGTATGGAGTCATCACAGGTAGTGACGTAGAAAAGCAATTCTTGACATTGATTCCTACTCTCGATCAATTCATTTGTAGTCATCATATATCTAAGCAGGTTTCAATTAAAAACTGAATGAAAAATAACTAACAAAATATAGACATTTAATGAGTAAATGTGACTTACCTTATGATGACCATATCGCATGGCTGCTCTTGCAATACAATAGTTTGCCCATAAATTGTTGTTGTCAATAACATTAATAATAGTATCGTACGTGGTGTCATTCCATTTATAACCCGACAATGACTGAAATATGAGAGTGCACAGCATTGTCTTTGTTTGCGTCTGAAGAGCAGTAGGACTATTAACGGTCGAGAGAACATTAAGAAGACTTAGAATGGTATCGATAAGTGGAAGCAGTGTTTCGGGTTTAAGGCTGCCAATGGCACCCAAGGCTTCGCAAATTGTCAAAGTGTTATCACCTAAAATACATATACTTCAGTACTAAAAAGATATAAAGAATGTAACTACACAGTTGCATATTAGTAATTTGTGCACAAGCTATCAAGAAGTTATATATGTAACATATTCCGTTTTTGAAGACTACAACTAAAATATAAACAAATATATCCACTTACTTTCTATATTATCCAGCCGAGTTCCTAAAAGTTCCACAAATACTTCACAATACTGATGTTTAGCCTCACACAGCCTAACAGCGCACTTCAGAACAGTCTTTAGTTGAGTTGAATGTTGTTCTTTAATGAAAGTCAATAGTAAAATCAGCGTTTCTAATGCTGATATCACTTCTTGCTCACCGTCAGTCTCTATGTTTTCTTTGTAGCTGAAATAAAAACAAAAATGTAACTAAAAAGCAAATTTATTACTAATAATTCATTTTCGAGAGATGGTGGAATCCTTATTGCAGTTCATACGAGCTTTAACAGTAGATCTTTAACAGTTATCCAGACAATTGAACAACTTTTTGTCTTGGTGACTGAAGGTGCAAATCGTTTATTATAGAAACAGTATATTTTCCACCAAAGTCTACATTTAAGAAATATTCCATATTTTGTGAAACCTTAGAACAAATAGCTGAAGTTTATCCATCTGCACACTATTATCTGGCTGCTGACTTCAATTTACCAAAGTGTGAATGGTTTTCAAATGACATGTGCTCTACAACAATTCCTCTACCAGCTGCCACAGCATCTGAAGTTGAAGTCCTGCAGGTTGTGTCTAGTATGTGTGCATACCACAATTTGTTTCAGTCCAACACTATTGTGAATTCCACTGGTAATATTCTAGATTTGGTGCTGGTTGATGATGCTGACGTAACTGTGACCAGTGCAGATGAAGTTCTTTTGAGGGAGGTTATGCACCACTCACCACTGGAATTTGAGATAAAGATTACCAAAAGGTGTCCCAATAATAGTGGTTTGGTTAGTGATAGTTTCTATAGGGACTTTAAGTTTAAGTCGGCTAACTATGTGAAAATAACTGATTTTTTATCACAGTTCTGTTGGGATAATTTACTTTTAGGAAAACTACTGAATCAAATTGTGAATATTTTTTATGATATAGTTTACTTAGCTATATAATTAGTTATCTTCCTGAAAAGGTATTCAAAACGTAGATTCCCTTCTTAGTTCTCACCAGAGTTGAAGGAACTGATAGTTGAGAAAAAGAAAGCTCACAAACAATATCTTTTTTATCTAAATCACTTCTGGATTATCGCACTTTTTCTCAGCTCAGCGCCAACTGTAAATTGTTAAAAGCTGTACATACAATCACTAAAACGCTGTTCGGGGGCAAATTTGGTATAGGCTTATCCTGCAGCCACTTTTTGTAATTGTCTTAGTTCATTGCATCATGATAATCTCCTGTTTTTATAGTAGGTTTGTAGCGCAGATAAGTGTTTTTAACAAAACCACTTTCACCTCCAGCATGCACTCCACAAGCCAGCGGTATTCACCCAGTCAGTAACTACTTACTATCACTGGTTCGTTATGAAATAAATGCATATTTTTGTAGTGAATTATCTGACATATAAATCAAATAATCACTGAATAGTTTTAATGAAAATTAATAACATTACCACTTGTTAAAGATTAGTCGAAATTACATCAAAGTCTTGAAAACAAACAATCTGTGACTTGCTAAACCAATATTATGAATAGTCATATTACAAACATGGGTCGGCTATCAATACGAGACGCACTGTGTTGAAGTTGCAATACTTATGCGTGTTGCAAGATACTGATGCGCGATATTCCCCGTGCGAGGTATTTCTCAGGCTTCAGCTATTTTCTGGCTAGCATGTTCTGTGTTTGTGATTTGTAGTAGTAATATGTAGCAGAACAATGTTAAAACATTGTTAATCTTATTGTGCAGCAGCTCGTTGAAAATAAATAAATATATATAAACATTGATATTATATTATATTATCATAACCTTTTATGCTATGTTGAGCCTGGAAGCTTCCATGCAGCTGTGGTAAATATGTAGCAAAAACTGAAAAATAGATTTTTCTTACAGACCACTGGTAATATCTAGAAGAAATCAACAGAAACACATTGACAATAAGAGATTAATTCTTACCAGTAGCAAAATATTTGGCTAAGTATTTGAATCGCTTGAGCTGCTATGGCTGGTTCTGGAGAATAACAATGGTTACTGCAAAGTTCTCTGAGCTTTGATCCAGATGATCTATGTTCATGACACATCCTTGGAGATTCTACTAATACCTGAAGTACACCTAAAAGTATACTTCTTTATAGCGAAACCTGTATATAATGTCATTTATATAACACAGTATGTAGAACTAACTTATTTAATCTACTTGCACATAAATGGTATTGTGATGTTAATAATACATATGTAAATAAATACTCACGTAATGATGGTGAAAGAATTTTCTTTTTATTTGAATTTAAAGCATAATTAATGATTTCGTCCACTGCCCCAGGTGGCCATAGATGAGCACCTGGCTTGGCCAACTCATATAAATGCTCCAAAGCTTTTAACTTGATCTCCCAGCGGGGATCATTCTTTAAGTAATTCAAAAGTAGATTTACTTGGCTTGGTATATCCACCAAAGTAGCTGCAGCTAATTTCGTCAGGGCATTCAATGTGACAAGAACAAATTCCTGAGCAGGGTAACCTAAAATTTAAAAACATATATAAAAACTTCCGTTTACTAATTAATAATGTTACTAGTTTTACAAAGGGTCACTACCATAGAAGCAGAATAAACTACTACCACTCTCACATATTTTCTCATTTCTTAATTGTTTAAATGTAAAAAGCAAATACACAGGCAGTATCTACATAATTGCTATTATAATAAACAAGAACTAAATGGAAAAAGAAGGTTTTATCAATTCCATATGTTTTTTTTTACTTGCCTGGCAATAGTTCTATGCACAGAGATCTAACCATGGCTGCTGTATTGGTATCATGATGCATGTACTGAAGAATAGGTATAAGTTGAAGTTTCATATTTGCAGGAGTGGACTGTCTTTGGATCATGTCTGATACTTTATTGCACATACTTATAGCAAATGTTCTAAAACATACATAAGTAGTAAACATTATTAGTGAAACAACTTTTTAATTAATAAAGAATATGGTTTTCTTCTGAAAAACATTTTTTTAGTCACTCATTACAAGAATAATTGTTTATACCCTTAAGAGATTATAGATAATTGATAGATCTAGGTAGAAGGGATCAAAAATTGACAGATTATTCTCTTCTGCTTCTGCCTAGATCTGTCAATTAAACTAAATGAATAGAAAATTAAGAAAAGCAAAATACAGGATACATTTAAAAATTATTTTTAAGGACTAATAATGCTCATATTTTACTTTCTAATCATATTCCGGACCAGTTTATAACTTATAATTTAAGACTCAGAACTGGACTTTGACAATATTTTTGTACAATTTTATAAGTATCCTTCTATAAAAAAAAACTAATTTCACCAACTTTGACTGTGCTGCAAATTGTACAGCTCCATAAACTGCTGCTTCAACTTCAACACTGTCATGGGAGTCTAGACTGCTTCTTATACAGTGATGGATTTGTTGCCTTTCTGGTATGATAGCAGCAACTGCTCCAAATATCCGCAAAGTCACAGCTCTAGCGATGGGATCATTACTATGGATTACACTGTATATTCTACGTACAAACTCATCAACATTTGAGATTTTGTCCAAATGTTTTTCACTTTGCTGGCATACTCGTAACACACATAAACGAAGAAAATTATTGCTGAAAATTAAAAAGTGATCAACTTAATTAGTTATGACAGTTTAGTAAACGACATACCCCATTCGAAAGACATCTGCTAATTTAAGCAGGGAAGCATTGATTAATATTGGAAACGGGTATTTTTCAAACAATTTCGGAAATCTCACAATTGCTTCACACTGTTCGCCTACTTTTCCTGACCGCAGTCCTATAAGTATATTAAGATACAATGAGCATTGTTTAAAAAAACATATTTTAACAAACCTTTATCTAATTCTGTTAATGCGGAATTTGCATCTTGGTCAGGTTCACCCAAGCCATTTTCATTAAAAGCACTTACTCTTACTCCGATCATTTTATTTTGTTATAATATAAAAATTGAATCTAAAATGGAAATATAAATATTTTGTTTTAGATTTAAGATTTTCCTAACCTTAAAGTATAAATAATATTTTTTTGCCGAAACAAGTGTGAAATTAGCAGTATATCAACTTCAAAAGTCAGTTCTGCCATTTCTTTGTACTCGATGTCTCATTAGCAGAGGCATCGAAAAAATTTGTAGGGTCTAAAAATATAGATAAAAATAATACGAATTATTTTTTTCCACACGATGATTTTAGAAATTTTTGATCAAATTACGTCGGTATTTCTGTTAATATTAGGGTCTTTTGGAACTTACAGAAATTAATTTCTTAGAAAATATACGCGGCTAATGAGATTTAATGAGTCCCCAGGCCGGTAAACCTTGATAAACTTTTTGAAATTATTTAAGATGCTTAGCGATAGTTCATAGATTATCTTAAGAATAAAGCACGGGAAACTTTTGTTTCTACAACTATAGACTTCCACATAATTTATTAGACACAATTTATTTTCACTACAGCTGTTTCGACAGAGTGTCTTTCACAAGATTTATTTTTACTATGCCTCTAAAATTTATAGTCGTTAACTGAATAAGTTAAGGAGATGGGAGCTGTTTGCCTCAAGTTGGTCATTTCGAATTATATCTGTATTTTATAAGTTTTTAATTTCATATCATAAGATCTCTATTTTGAATGTGAAGAATTTGAAATTGGTCGTTAAAAGAATGATTATGATTTAGAAAGTGAAGTACGTATGTAGAACCTGTTTTTCTATTACGGAAAGCCTTTTTGTGTTCTGCTATATGTTTAATAAAGGTTCTATCTGTTTGACCGATGTACTTATACATAAAAAAATACTTGATGTCTACTATTTATACTAGTACTAGCAGTAGGACTAGTAGTAGTAGTAAGACTAGTATTAAGAAATTGCGTATTTTGTGGTCAAAAATTGCGCTGAGAATGAGATATTATTGACATATTTTAGAAAATAACATATATTATTAATGAAACTAATAATTAATTTGTTTTCAATACTCTTTCCTCTCTTTTTAATACCTTACTGGAATTGAGCCGACCATACTCAAAGGAAACATAATCAAAATGATACATTCATGCTACTATCCTTGCAGATATAACTAGGTTCTATAGTACTGTACCTATTAAAAGATTCTGAGAAAAATCTGGATACATACAATCCTACAAATAACAAGATGAAGGAGATGCGTGCCCGAATATATATTTTCCCCAGATCATTATATTCTGTATATTTTCTAGACCCTGAAACTAACAAGCTTCTCCGCTCATGAGAGCTCGGTCATAAACTTAATAGTAACACTTAATACTAATGAATTTTCCCTTTTCAAAAATATTAGGTTAGATTAGATGTAAGATTTGAAAACACTTTTAAATACTTGTTTTATTTTTTGATAAAAGATATATTAAGTAATCAGTAAACAATACGCTCCGAGATATTCTATAAATAAGACATGTTATGATAGTAATACAGATAACAACTCATTAGTGACGACAATATTAAAAGTGTTTTTCTCTACAATTTCCAAAGTGCTCTAGCTGCTGTTCATTTTTAGTAATAACATGTCTTTAAATACATTAGTAAAATTAAGCAAAATCGGTGCCGAAGTTGCAGTAAAAAATGCAAATAAAAGTATCCTTTTTAAACCAAACATTAGATTTTCCACTAAAAACATTCCTAATGGGTTTGGGACTCTAGAAATTCTAAAAACTCACAATAACTTTCTTTAATGTTCATTCTAATTATTGTCGATATAGCTACTATATGTTCCATTCTTTGCATAAAAAGAAAACGCATTCAAATGTTCCATATTGTTGCAGCAAAGTATTTTTTTATAATATGCACATATAATAATAATCTGATTTGGTATGTAATGGATTGTGCTGTGGGTAATTTATTATCTGTCATAACATACTAATTTTATACATAAAATAATCAGTTTTTTATTCTTCGTCTTTATGTTACTGTTAAAGCCTCCTCTAATTGTATTTTAATATGGTTATTACTGCTATAATCGTGAATAAGTTTCTTAGTTTTTTTTTGAGTTAATTTAGACTATTCCTTAACCAACATATCAGATATACCAATAAGATGCTGTTCCAAGTTCGGTAAGTAATATTTTAAGATCTGTGACAGAGTTCCAAGTAAAAAATTCTAGTTATATATTTAAGAATGTACAAAAACTCATTTTTTCTGCCCTTACTGCAGAATAATAAACAATCAGAATGCCAACTCCACTGGAACAAATAAGTATGCGCATCTCGTTCGCACAGACAGAATCAGCCATGTTTTAAACAGAATCAGTGCAGTGCTGTTCAGTGACATTTTATCTGGTGTGCATAGAAAAATTAACCCAGTTTAATTTATTTACGGCAACTATAGACATAATGTGCACTATTTTATTTGCACTTTTAGTTGAAGAATAGACTAAATTATTTCAAATGTACTAAATTATTAATCTATAAAAATTTAAATTACAGTTCTGTTGTAGTCACAAATTTCTCAATTCGAGTATATGTTTCCATCTAAAACATGGCGCTTGTGTGCTGACAAACTTCAAAGGCGGCATCTGAGAGTGGGCATTCTGATTGTATATTATTCTGTGCCCTTACCTTCCTTCACCAACCCCCAATTATCTGAAGCTACTTGCTTGTAGCATTTCAATATTATTTACTATCTTTAATGAGAAATAACCACAATTTCAGTTGAAAATATGTTTATTCTGATGTTTCAATTTTCACTTAACAAATCATTTTGAAAATTCAAATTAGTAAATTATTTTTTTTTGTTATTTGGTAGTATAAACAATTCTTGTTGTGAATCCCTGTGAAAAGAATCACTTTTACATGGGAAATACAAAAAAATTAATGTTAATCGCCCTCTAATATACATTGTACATTAATCACTAATTGAATCAGAATCCATTGATGTACATTTCAGAGCTTCTAGAGCTCACTAGCTCCTAGCTCTTATATTCTACTAATAACCTTTTTCTTTTCTTCCGATCTGATACCTTGTGGCATATCTCATAATTTATGAAGGCTGACATGTATTCTGGTCACAGTCATGTAATAGATGTAATGAAAATTAATTTGTTTGATTTTCATAATTTATAATTACAGCTCCGTTCAATTGGCAAGACCCACTGAATCTTGAATCACAACTAACTGATGAAGAAAAATTAGTAAGGGATCAATTTAGATCCTATTGCCAAGAAAAACTTATGCCCAGAGTTATAGAAGCGAATAGGAAAGAAGGTAAATATTTTTTTCACATACACAAAATAAATTGCTTTTACTTCTTCATTTAATAGTAGGTAAAATAGAATCATCAACAAAAAAAATCAACAAATTAAAAAACAGATATAATTCTGAATGACCAACTTGAGACAAACAGTTCTCCCCTCCTCAACCTATTTCATTAGAGACTATAAAGTGTAAACGCATGCCAAAAATAGATCACTTGAGAAAGGCAATCAGCCGAAACAGCTGTAGTGATAAGAGTTTAAAATAAATTTTGTGGAAGTTTGAAAAGTTTTCAGTGTTTTATTGTTACATTTTTCTTTCAGTTTTTCATCGGGAAATTATGAATGAAATAGGCGAACTAGGTGTTTTGGGATGTACAATAAAAGAATATGGATGTGCAGGAGTATCTAATGTTGCCTATGGTCTGTTAACACGTGAAGTTGAGAGAGTTGATAGCTCTTATAGATCAGCGTTTAGTGTTCAATCGTCTTTAGCCATGGGCGCTATATATTCGTATGGAAGTGCAGAACAAAAACAGCAATACCTTCCAAAATTGGGTAAGTTCCTATAAAATTACTTATGCTTTGTGTGTGAGTGACAAATTGGGTAACTTTATGTAAAAATCAAAATTTTTATACAAATTTCTATAAAAATTACTTTAAAAAAAGGTTATATCAGTCTTTTGGTGAAGTCTAAAATGAATGGAGAAAAATATAAAGCAGAAACAAACAAAGTATTAATGCCTTAACTGTTTAATTAACTTTATACAAAGTATAAATTAATTTAATGTACTTGGTAAACCCATAGACATATCATACCCATAGATATTAATAAGACCGAGCAGTCTGTAGAGCTAAGTAACGACACCATCTTTGTTGTTGTTAGTTGTGTATCTATCTTACTTGAAGTAAGTAAAGCAGTATCTCTTTTTGGTCAGGAGAGAGCGAGTGAGGAGTTTCAATGGCTAGAGAGAAACATGTCAAACAACCGGCAAAATATGTCATCACTGCTCGTTGCTGGCTGCTCAGTCTATGTTACTATATATGTCTATGGGTAAACCATATAATTTTGAAGTCTTCTTTTTCTTGTTTTTATGTAGACATGACTATGTCTGTTTTTCAATGTACCTCCAGTAAGTTGATGTTCTATCTTCTTCGTGGTTTTCCTAATGATCGTCTTTCTATTGGGGAACCGTATTTTGTCGTCTTTACTACTCTATTTGTTTGTCATTTGGCTTATATGATCGTCCCATTCTACTATTCCATTTCTTTCCCAGTTCTTGATATTCTCCACCTAGCATCTATGTCGTATACCTGTACTTCTAGCTCTGTACCATAGTGTCTTACCATCAATTTTTATAAGTGTTTCATCTCAGCTGTTTCTAACATCCTTTTTGTCCTCACTGTGTCAGGTCTTGTTTCTGCCGCGTATGTCATTATTGGTCTGATGACTGTTTTGTAAATTCTGCCTTTCGTTTCTTTCCAATATTTTTATTTCTCCATATTGTTTCATTCAGGCATCCTGCGGCTCTGTTTGTTCTATTCACTTAATATTCCACTTCTGTGGATTTTAATTTTGAATTTTCTGTTTAATTTTGAAGTGTATACTATATTTGGTTTAATATGTTGTAGCCAAGGGCGAATATATTGGCTGTTTTGGTTTAACTGAACCAAATCATGGAAGCGACATAGGACAAATGGAGACTAGAGCCAAATACGACTCATCTTCCAAAACCTATAACTTATAAACAAACCCCGGTCAGTAATAAACCTGGTAGAGTAAATTGTGAACATAATTGAATGTTTTATAAGCAAAAGATAAAATCACATTTTTAGGATAACAAATTCTCCAATAGCGGATATTTTTATCGTTTGGGCAAGATGCGATGATTCAAAAATAAGAGGGTTCATAATCAATAAAAAGGAACATGGTAAAGGTTTAGAGGCTCCTAAAATTGAAGGAAAATTTTCTTTACGAGCGTCAACTACAGGTATTCCATTATCTATTTGTCTATAATCATAATATCAGGATGGCCCGATAAGTATTTAGCGTACAAAAGAAAAATGAAACTTTTGAAAAAGTTGCGATTTATCTCAATGTTTCTCGAGATCTGCAAAATAGACCTGAAGGCGATTACCTCATTCGACTAAAATTTTTGACGTTGATTGACTATTTTAAGTCTAAAAGCAAAAAGAAGTCGCACGGGGCCAAATCTGGAGAATACGGTGGATAGGGCAGCAGTTTGTAGTCCAATTCGACCAATTTGGCTGTGACGACGCCAGAGGTGTGAGCTGGTGCATTGTCGTGGTAGAAGAGCACTTTTTCTTCGCCAAATGAGGCCGTTTTCCTGCAATTCGGCGTCGAAATGGCCTAATAATTCGGCATAGTGGATCCCTGTGACCATTTGGCCTTCTCCAGGAAGTCGATATAGATCAAAGGTTATGAATTCCAGATAATAGTGACCGACAGCTCACCTCTTGGGAGCACGTTTACCGTGTAAAGTCAACTGTTTCTTCGTCTCTGGTGTGAACCAATGGATTCACGTTTCGTCGAAGGTTACGAAAGGACACAGAAACTCCTTCGAATTTGCGCTTAAAAAGCGTCATTCTTGTCTGGAGTGAACAAACGTGGCACTCATGGCGCCGACATCTTTTTCATGTCCAAAATTTTGTGCAGGGTATGACCCAAGCAGTCTTTTGTGGCGCCTGCTATCTCGCGCACCTTCAGTCGGATATCTGCCAATACTAAATTGTGGATTTTTGTCATCTTATCCTCTGTGGTAGCCGTTTTCGGGGCACTTGGGCGTAGCTTATCAAAAACCGACGAGCAAACACGTTGAAACTTAGTAAACCAATTTTAAAGGGTCGCCATCGCAATAGAAAAATCACTGTACATAGCATCCAAGCGCTCTTTAATTTCCTCTCCAAAAGAAGAATCAAATCACCGACCGATATTGCTCTTTTTCCATTTTTTTAAAATCTGCGGAAAACCTCGCTTTTACACGCGGTCAAAACAAAACTATGAGTCTGATTTGGCTGAAAATTTGACATTAGCCTTCTGCGCGAATGTACTACACGATAGAAAATTTATCTTGCGATAGTGGCGCAGTTGAACAGTGAGGCTAAATACTTATCGGACTGCCGTCGTATACTACATATGTTAATAGCAATTTTTTTCCAAATTGTCATTATTTCTTAGGTATGATACTATTAGATAACGTAAAAGTGCCCGAAGATCATTTATTACCAAATGCCGTTGGTATGAGTGGGCCTTTTGGATGTCTAAATAACGCACGATATGGTATTGCATGGGGAGCACTTGGAGCTGCTGAAGCCTGTTTGGAAATTGCAAGAAATTACACTTTGGAACGTCATCAGTTTGACAAACCTTTGGCGGCAAACCAACTGATACAGAAAAAGATGGCGGACATGGTGACAGAAATCTCTTTGGGATTGATGGGATGCTACCAAGCTGGCAGACTTAAGGATCAAAATTTGTAAGTTAAGTTTTATATCGGTTTAGGTTTAGTAAACATTGACATTATTTAAATACAGTGCTTCTGGGATGTCGATATGACATTCCTTCGATATGTCACCAAGCCCCCATAGTCGTATTACAAATTAATACAAAAGATAATGGTAATAATAGGAAAAGTCGTAAATTGTGGGTGGCAAAGTCATTTCGCTAATCCATATTTTCACATAAACAAAAAACATAATCCTTAAAAGACATGGTTGCAACCGAAAAACAAGGTTTTACGAAAATCCGCTAATGGAATTATTCCACTGATGTTTCAAAGTTAGGATAAAAACCCACCTTTCAATTAACCCGTATAATAAGTCGAATACAATTTTTTTTAAAAAACGCACTATACTAAAAATACACAAGCATTGTTTTTATATTTTTAGGCATACGCCCCAAATGATTTCCTTACTAAAAAGGAACAACGCAGGAAAAGCATTGGAAATTGCAAGAGTTGCTCGTGATATGTTAGGTGGTAATGGAATATCTGATGAGTATCACGTTATTAGGCATGTTATGAATTTAGAAGCTGTTAATACTTATGAAGGTAAGTTTAACTAAATAGTTTTATCTAAGTAGCTTACAATATCTACTACTAAAAATTTACTAAATCCCCATCTCATATGGTAGTTCCAGTCCCTAGTCTGTTAACGAATATCTAGATTTCCCGTGATTCACTGTGACCAGGAGCTAATTCTTGTAATAGTGTCATCCAGTAATGATCTTTTGATGCTAGAGGACGCCTCCCGATTGTTGGCAAACCTGGTATTTTAGTAACTTTTTGTTGATACATTGACAGTTGTTATACTTTTAAGCCACTGCTTTCTTCAAATATTTAACATCTACACGATTTTATTAACATCTAAAGATTACAAAACTGGTTAAAGATGTGTCTAAAGTATGGTTCCTTAACCTTTAGTTCATCTTGGACAATTTCTGAATTTGTACATCCGCCAGAGTTTTTTGATATTAAGCTCTGTAGGAACAATAATGTGTTTCACTGCATTTTAGGCGATTTATGAATGAAATGACATTTTCCTTCTTTGCAAGGAGTCTATCACCTCCACATCTCTCCTTAGTTAATTTGCCATGATTATTAAACCGCTTACTTATATTAACCTTTCTTATGTGTGCTTCAAACTCCAACAGGAGTTTTTGAGAAAATGGTCTGTGATTATTTGCATCGTCTGCAGTATAGACCCAAATGGCAACTTCTTCTTCATGTGCCTTGTCCGTTCCGAACGTTGGCAATCAACATGGCAATTCTGACTTTGTTTACGGCAGATCTGAATAGTTCAGCAGATGACAATCCGAACCACTGTCGCAAGTTTTGGAGCCACGAGTGTCTTCTCCTCCCTGGACCCCTTCTGCTGTCTATTTTCCCTTGAACGATCAGCTGTAGTACTCTATATTTATTATGTCTCATAACGTGACCCAAGTATTCCAACTTTCTTTTCTTTATACTTATTCCTACCTCTCTCTCTTTACCTATCCGGCGTAGTACCTCTTCGTTGGTCACGTACTCAGTCCAGGATATACGTAATAATAAATGGCAACTACCCTAACAAAACATAGCGATCAATCAACTAGTTCTCATACAATCTGAAGATCGCTCTCCTTTAAACTGCCACTAGGTAGAATTATTGACTGGAAGGGATGGAAAAGTTCGCGCTGCACGTGTAAAAATAGCAGAAAGTGAATATGTTCGCCCCATAATAAAATAGCACCTCTTCCAATTTCTGATTAAACATTTTCTTAATGGTCGTTTCGATCAATTGCTATTTGTAACTATTCTAAATTTTCTTCGTCCCCAGTATGTAGAAAATGAATTGTCTTTTCTACAATAGTTTGTTTAATAAATAAACAATAATTAAATTTTATTCTCACTAAATTAAAATCTATACGATCAGCATGACATGCCTTGTTTTTGCTTTATTGTATCTTCTGTGCCTGTTAGCTTTTCAGATTTAAACTATTCAAACCCAACTCCCCTTACGGCACTTCGTTTTTGTCTTATCAAATAGAAGCACGCAAGTCAAACTCCCTTTTTAGCTTCTCACATAGAAGCAAGTAAATAGTTCATCTCACGCTTCTCAAATGGAAGCATATTTCAAGTTTATTTTATTTTATTAAATAGTTAACTATATTAAATTCAGTGTAATGCATCTAATCTGTAAGTACCTGAAATTATTCTTTAGTACAGAAGAAAATCAGTTTTTGTGCCAATACTTCATAAATGCCGGTCTGACAAGTTACAGGGTTGCTGGCATGGACGTATAAATAAAGTTTTTTTTATTATTAAACAGTGACTTTTGCAGTTAGATTTCTCAACTGATGTAACAGAAAGAATAACAAAGTTCAAATTGGACTGACTACATATGAGACGTAATAATAGAAAACGGAAGATGTAATGGAAAAATCATAAACTGAAGACCTTCCGATGGACAAAGAAGAAAGATCCATAACACAATGACTTAAAAAGACAGCAGGAAAAATGTGGCTGAGAGAACAGCTAACACAACTGTGGACACAAAAAAGCTGTAGATGATCTAACAAAAAAAATCTAATCAGTGAAACCGACTTTGCGTACAGTACAAAAGTCGCAGAAAATGATAATTATAGGCCTAAACTAGACCGGATTCTCCTGTACTACAGAAAACATGAATTGAGCTAAGAATTTTTAAATAATTAGCATATTACATTTTGCATACTTATAGTAAGTGCATTGCAAGTGTACTAAATTTTTGATTTATTTTATCAATTTAACATTTAATTATATCTAAAGTGTTTTATTTTGTTTTTAGGTACTCACGATGTTCACGCTTTAATATTAGGGAGAGGAATAACAGGAATTGCAGCATTTTAAAAAGCTCATTAAGTTTTCAAAATTATATTTTTTAATATTTTTACTTGAAAATATATATCTTTGTTACCGATCTATATTTATTATCTTCTCATACATCCATAATACTAAAAAAACTAAAAGCCATTTATATATAGGTAATAAACGCCGAATATATAAATACATGGCGAAAGGAGCACTATTCATCAAACCTTCCGTGTATAAATTGGTATCAATCAACGTCCATGGTATCAATATACTGTTATTGGATTTGTTTATCGAAAACAACACTGAGAAATTTGGGTGATTTCTTGAGAACTCTGGTAGCTTGGGTGTTTATAGAAGACTTAAAGAACATCTAATCCTGAGAAATGATCTAGTGTAGATAGCTTTGAATGGTGTAACAGTAATTTTTTTTTTGTGAGTAAGAGTTAAAGAGTTGTAGCAGCTCTGGTTTATCAATGCTGATTGGGAGATGTTGCAGTACTTAAGTTTTGCAGTATTTGTAAGTACAAATAAGTTATTATTCATCGGGAGAATTAGACAAGGAGATTTTTGGCAGCCAAAAAGTTAGGAAGGATTGTTAGGATATTTGATCTAGTTTCCTTGTAAGCACGACAAAGAAAGGAAAATAGCTAGAAAGCTTTTAATAAATGAATATCAGAGACAGTTTAGAATTGAAAGTTAACCGGCTTTTTGGAAACAATATTGTAGAGGCATAAGTTTTGAAATGAAACAAAAAATAAAATTAATAATTTGTAAGGTTTTTCTTTTCTTAATTTTCTGTAATGTTAATTTGGGCTGTGCAGTTTAATTTCTCAAGATTAGTAAACATTGATATTTCTAAGTAATCAATTCAACAAGTACTTGTACAAAAGAAATTCTTACCATAAGCAACATATTTTTATTAAATTATCGTTTTTTTCACAAGATTGTAACTTTTAAGGTAGGTCTTGCATATATACTATAACTTCTATAATTTGCTCTTATCTTGCCGTTTGGTGTAGTTGTAGTCTTATCTAAGAAATCTTAAAAGGTTTTTTAACAAATTTCAATAAAAACCAGATTTCCTTGTTTCACCAGGATTCATTCTTTTGCTTCCGATAGATAACTGGTGGTTAGTTTATTTAACCAAATCTCACTCATTTGAACATTAGATCTTGATTCACTCCTTTTTTATATCAACAGATACATTCTCTAACATTGGTATATCTTCATTCTGATTCACTTGTTGATCCATAATCTCCAACTAATGATGTTTTTGCTTTTTTGGGTTCATCTTTCTCCTCCGTTTCAGTCTTATTACCTCTTTTCTTGATTATTCCCAAATCTTTTTGACTTTGATTTAAAATTTTCATGGCTTTATCCTCTTTACTCCTCGAAAAGTTAGATGTAGGCAGCGATGACTGTGATATGATTTCTTTTCTTATAGTTTCCATATGTTCGTCTATACTTTTTGACGGTTTTAGTTTCATGCTCAGAAGAGATGCTACTTTTTTGTCTTCTTCTCTTTCAGGTAAAAGAGGAATGTCCAGGCTGGATTTTTTTAGAAGAACTTGATCATGAGTTACTTTTTGTTTTGCTTCATAATTGGCCTTCTGTAAAAAAATATATATTAGTATACTAATTTTTGGAACAACTTTGAATGGTATTCATGAAAATATATAAAACAGTTATTTGACAAGATCAGTGAAGACAAAGCCTTTTTCAGCACATTTATCATTTGCAAACAAACAATATGGGATTTATCATTGCATATATAATAAGATATAATATTAACTTCATTAAGTACTGCACTGGAGCTCTGAGATTTTTATGTGATTACAAATAGAAATTGCAAAGATATACATAAAACTATAATTTCAGAAAATGTAATACATAAACTATATACTATATAAAATGCAATTTGTATATTTATGAAAAAACAAGTAATAATAAAGCACTGTCAATGGAACCTGATCTAGAATTAATTTTTTAGCAAAATGTTTGTAAATTTTGACTATTTCAATGTTGTGAATAATTTCTTTAATGCCTTGTAATCTCATTTCTCTCAAGGCAGTCTTGCAGTCATAATGGAACCTACTTTAAAATTTAAACATATATATCTAACTGAAACAAAAAGAATCAAATTCTTTTTTTGATACAAGTACTACCTATTCATTTTTTAAGATACATAGGCACCTGTTAACAAATTAAGACTTTAATGATTACAAAATTGTTGCATTTTTTGCTCAGCCTTTATGTTTCAATTTTGAGGTCTAAATAAAGGTTTATAAAACAAGTTTTACCCTGAATTGTGCTCTAAGCATTTGATTAGCAGAGTAAGAATCAGCCCAAACGTCTTCATTCCTGTTAAACAGTTTGACCAGTCCAGGTTTTACACTTTCTGCAGTAGTCTTATCTTCACTACCATGCTCAAGCTTAAACATAGAATCATCAAATAGTCTTTTTTGAGTTTCTTTGGTTTCAGGTACAACTTGTTCATTTGTTGTTGGGTCCCAACGATTTTCTTGTCTTCTAGCTCCTGATTGAATAACGTAGTCTAAATTCTAAAACAAAGTAAATCAAGAATTTTGGATGCTTTATATATTTTTTATCTTTTTATACTATTAAGATTGTCTGGTTTAATGTATAAAAAAATAAAAGTACTTACTGCTGGATCGGCTCTAATTACAAATTGATTATCACATAGATGACACTTCATTTTAAACTCATACACAGGAGTAGTGTAATACATTCCAACTTTAGTTTTTTCTGCATTGTATCTTACACCCATTCCAATGTGATTCTTACAGCCATCACACCATATATTATATGGCATTTCAAAACGTATAATAATAATACCTTTGTCGATCTTCCGAGCCCTTTCTCTTAGGGCATGAGTCCCCACGAATTTGTTGAGACCCCCGACCCTTGGGTCATAGTCGGGGGGATAATATTTATTTACTCCTTTTCGTTCACCCATGTTAAAAGTATCTAGTTCTCGTTGTAAATTAAGTGTTAAAGGGTTGTTTATCAATATAATGAAAACGTCAGAGATATCTTACATATCTCTGGAAAACGTCAATGGCTAACCTATAAATTATTGCTATCAACGTCATTCTCATATCTTCTACGTTTCTTTCAACTTTCAAATAGTGTAAGTTTTAAGCTATTTGAGTAGTTTACCTAAATATTAGGATTTTTATTGGTTTAAATTTCATTTGGGAATATTATTATCATTCACTTTTTTTTTAAACTGCATCATATTAATAAATGTTGCTACGTTTAGTTAATATTTGATGGACTTCTTTTCATAAGGTATGTCGCGCCAAATTTAGAAAACTTACTGTACCTCGTTGCAGTGTTGTCAGAATTTCAATGTTTCAATTTAAATTAAACTAGATCAAAAAAATAATTTAAAATCAAATAAAAAGTAAATAACAAGAAATTTAAAGATAAACCAAAAACTTAATTACGCAATATAAAGGTCTATATTCTAAGAGCAAAGTATATTATCGATAAATATGATTTTGCTTACCCATATGTAAGTAAAGCTAAATGGAAACGCTAAAAAGGGCATAATTTTTTAAATATAAACAAAAAAGTTAATGTTATAACAGGACAAAAGAAAGTGAAACTCCAAAAACACTAATAATAAAGAATAATTAAAGACACACTGGCTGAAATATTTTCAGAATATGTTCGAGGATAACAGAACTGAATTATCGAACATTTCAGAAGACGGAAACTACTTAAGCATTCTAACCTAAATTCAGAAGTACAACAAGAGATTATAAATGGCAAAATTGGAAAAGCTGCTGGACTTAATAAATTCTATAATGAAAAGATAAAACTGATTAACAAAGAAAATATTTTAGCCTTTACGCAAGCTATCTATAAAAATATTACACATACTTCAAGACTGACTGAAATCCTTCTTTATACAATTGGTTTACTTCATTGTTAAAACTAGGAAGACACTCTCTCTAGCCTCATAATAATGCTCTAGATCGATATGCAAAGAAAGAGCCTTTCTACACCACAATTCATAAGATATTAATAGAAAAATTAGGCTATCACAAAGTGTGTGCGCGGTGGGTACCGCGACTGCTTACAGAAAATCACAAACAGCAACTTGTCGAGTATGCCCAGCAGTTTTTATAACAATGTAAAGATAAATGTAAAGACAAGGAAGCATTTTTAGATTCCATTGTTAAGGGCAACGAAACATTGGTATTTCACTTTACTCCTGAAACAAAGCAGTAATCACATGAATGGCATCACTCAACTTCGCCGAAGCCAGAGAAATGTAAACACACGCAGTCTGCTGAGAAAGTCATGGCAACCATCTTTGGGTCAGAAAGGACCTACTTTTAATCGACTTTCTGGCTCATAGAATAACAGTTTACTCCGACAGATATTGCGAGACGTTAAAAAACTAAGACATGCGATCCAGAACCACCTGAGAGGTCGTCGTAAGGACTCGACCTTATGTCTCACATCAAACTGAACAACTGCTGAGAAATTTTGGCTGGACTCTTGTACCCTACCACTCTACAGTCTGGACCTATCACCAAGTGACTATCAGTTATTCCCAAAATTAAAGAAATACTGGGGAACATAAAGAAGAGGTTACTCGATTCATCAAAGGATTGGCGGCAGAATTCTATAACATGGGGATAGAAAAGTTAGAGCATCGCCTTCAAAAGTGTTTGGAAAGAAATGGCGAATATGTAGAAAAATATGTATGCGATTATGTACAACACTAAAAAATGAAGCTGTCTATTTTTAAAATTCATGGAAACTTATTTCGACGCCTGATATGAAACATTGTAACTCACTTTTGCTTAGTTTAGCTGGATCTGGATCTTCCAATCCAGATTATCTGGTACATGGCCCATCTTCGGTAAGGCCAAATTCTTGATGTCATAATTGTACACGATTTTCTTCAAATTAGTTAGAGCACGCCATATATCTTCGTAGCTTGCTCTGTCTGTATACGACTTCCTGGTCACCATATACAGCAAAGATCTAGAACCATCTTCTAATCTCAGTACCTTTCCAACTTAAGGCTGCTGATTTCTTAACTCGTCCAAACGACCAAACTTCTTATAAAATACGGATGAGATTCCTTTAGTCCTCCCAAGATCTTGGACAACACAGTGGGCTAGAGAGACGTTATGCGGAACACTAAAAAGATCCTGCTAAACTTCTGTGGTCACGCCGAATCTAGCACTCTTTCTCTCTCCGTAATTTGACATAAATTCATTAAAGCTTGGTCGCCGGTCATCTTTGATCTCATGTTGAAGGTTTCAAGCTTCTTCTGTTTCATTTGAGCCAGCATAAGGTGCAAGACGATATATGTGAACTACTCTTGGTTTATCTTTCGGCAACTTCTTAATTCGGTATATTACGTCATTTATTCTCTTTTTAATTTCATACGGACCTTCCCATTGTCTTTGCAGTTTAGGAGACAAGCCTTGACGACGACGAGGATCATAAAGATAAACATGATCACCTGCATCGAGAATCAAATTGATCTTTCATTCTGTCACTGGCTAACTGGATGTGTTGTCGGGCAAGTGCATGAATGTCGTTCATTCTTAACTTCAGGCAGTCGACATAATCTTCGCTTGCAACATGTTCTTTGGAAGGTCTGCAGCTAATCTCTAGCTCGCAGGGTAAAAGAACTTCACGACCTAACTTCAGGCAGGTTGGAGTCTGGCCTGTAGTTTCATTTACGGCCGAGCGGTGGGCCATTAAGGATAAATGAATGTGCTGGTCCCAATCTCTTTGATGTTCTGATACAACTTGGGACATGTGTTTACTCGTCGTTCGGTTCATCTTCTCGACCACTACATCTGATTAAGGATGCAGGGGTGTCGTTCTGGTCTTATTGACACCAATCAATTTACAAACGTTTTAGAAAAGGGTGCACTCGAAGTTTCGCCCTTGGTCGGAGTGGATCTCCAAAAAATACCAAATCAGCTAAAGAATTCTTTAACAAGTACCTATGCAACAGTAGCAGCTTCTTGATTTGGTATTGCACAGGCTTCAGTCCATTTCGTCAAATAATTCATGGCTACCAGGATATATTTATTTCCATCATTCGTCTCTGGAAGTGGACCTGCAATATCGATTGCTACTCTTTCCATAGGATTACCAACATTATACTGTTTCATGGTTGCCCTCTTTTTACCAACTGGACCATTACTGGTTGCACACAGTCCACATTTCCGGCACAATCTTCTTACATCATCGTTACAGTTCACCCAATAGAACCGTTCTCGAACCTTTTGCAGCGTCTTCGTAATACCAAAGTGTCCACCTGATACAACGTCATGCAACTGACGCAATAATTCTGACACTTTACTTTTAGGTACAATCAACTGAAGCTTAGATTCTGCACTATCATCGTCCTCAAAGGTTCTATACAGAAGATCATCTTTTAGTACTAGGCAATTCCATTGGCTCCAGTAACACTTGATTTCTGGACTACATGCACTAATGTCTTGCCAAGAAGGTCTTTCACTTCGACGCATCAAATCTAATACTCTTTTTATACATGGATCATTTGCTTGAGCGTCTTGTAGCGAACTACTTTTCGTACCATTTCTTCCAGACGTTCATCGTTTGGTTCTTCGCCTTCTTCAATGGTTCTTACTCGACGGGTCCGTGACGTTTGACTAGCTGTTTCATGGTCCAAGGCAATAGCGAGCGCTTTATCTAGAACTTTCGGTCTTGCTAGTCGTAAATATTTATGTAATTCTGTAACTACGCGGATGTTGTCGACGAACAATACTTTTCAAAAGTTCAAAAGTCTTTTTTTCAAAAGTCACTGCTGAATTTATTTTTTTAATCTCACACCGTGACACCATTGTACCGTTTTAAATAAAACGGGCGGTTCTTAATTTATCTAAATATACTTATTTATAAAATAACAGCACGAACATATCTTATCAACTAAATTTAGCTAATATCGGAGCTACTTATATATGCAAGTTATTATGTACTAGAATATTCTGGAATAGTCCACCTTGTTATATACTTGGCAACACAGGTAGGCAACACCGCTCACTGACACAAGGGAATGCAGTTAGTTAGTTAATGGGGAATAAAGGTTATTGATGTAAAACTACGTTGTAAGAATAATTATTACCTTATTTAAGTAAGAAATACTAAATACACAACAACTGGCGACGTGGATGGGATACATAAAAGGGTAATAACAACTACTGCAGAGATTACTACGACTACTACGATTGCTACTTCAACTTCAAGTACAGTTATAGGTACTACAGCCCCAATTATGTCTACACAAGTATCTACATTTCAATTTTTAGACAATTCGATTTTCATGAATTTAGAGAATTCATGAAAAATAATGTTACTGCACCCTATCACCCAGCCAGCAATGGCCAGGGGGAGAGATACGTTCAAACACTAAAAAATTGCCTGGAGCCACGCACAGTGAAAAGAAAGACAGAGAACTTGAATTGTGCAAGTTACTAATGCAGTATCGTAGAACATCTCATACAGTAACTGGCAAAAGTCCTTCTGAACGAATGCTAGGAAGGCAGAGTAGAAATAGACTGGATTTACTTAAACCTTTAACTAATGACAAAACAGCTTACACAGACCAGAGTCTTAGGAATGTTTTTATAGATACCAGAGTCTCAGTGCGAGATTAGTTCAGTGCAAAATGGCAATTCGGCAAGATTATACTAAGGTTATGACTATTACATTATTTAGTTGAGTTAGATGATGGTAGGACGTGGAGACGTCATATTGACCAAATTAGAGTAATTGGGCAGGATACACCTTGTTTCATTCCTGATACAGTTACATATAGTATAGTTCCAAGGGAGATATCTGTCCCTGAACCCAATTCCGTTTCACCACCTACAAATGTACAAGAACTTCTAAATGATACAATAGAGCCAACAGTACCTGAAGCTCACACTGAAGCTGAACCAGTGTTAAGACGTTCAAGTAGAGTACGTAAACCTGTTCAGAGGATGCA